TCTTCTTCTTCTTCTTCTTCTTCTTCTTCTTCTTTCTCATCTCCTTCCTCATCTCCTTCTTCCTCTCCTCCTTTCTCCTCTCCTCCTTCCTTGTATATTCTTTTCTTCCCCAAGTATCTTCATGGCTTTGCTGTAAGTCAAGTTCGCCTCCCTGGGCTTCTGGGGTTCCACATTCTCCCCACTTCACCTGGAGTGGTAAGAGCAGAGCCGAGAACCGAGGAGTGCTCCTCAGACAGGAAGAGGGGAAGGCCTTGAGGCTGGCTCTTAAATACTTGGTTCTGTCACAGACACAGAAAACGAGCCAAGTCCACACACCGGCACATCCTGACCTCACTCCACTTCCTTCTGGGTTGTCTTTCTTCCTAGGTGTCTTTGTCCTCACTCAGGTCATTAACTGGTTCCGGACCATTCCCCTGACCTTCAAGGATCAGTTCATCATCGCCTACGGAGGGCTCCGAGGCGCCATCTGCTTCGCCCTGGTGTTTCTCCTCCCGGCCGCCGTGTTCCCCCGGAAGAAGCTGTTCATCACAGCTGCCATCGTGGTCATATTCTTCACCGTCTTCATCCTGGTGAGTCCAGTGCTTTCTTCCAAAAAGAGAAAAGAGATCTCTCCCTTTGCAAAGTGTGTCGAGGCTTTGGCGATCAGGTGAAAATGATATTTCCCATCTGGGTTCAGATTCACCGGATGGTCCAGGGGAGTGACGAGAGTCCAATTTGGTCACTTGGCCTTCACAGAAGAATGGTTATTTAAGGAAACTCAGCTCAGTGAGCTCAGCTTACTACTGGAAACGTAGGAACTGGGCTTCCTGATCCCAGTCATTTGCTTTACTTCTGACCTAGTAAATTACCCCTCAGATGCTGGTTGTGCACGGTGACCTTCCAACAGCTATTGGACAGGAGTTGATTGCTGCTCACTGCTTCTCCCAAGACAGAGGACTGGGTGAATGTGAGTTTCACGCCGGGAGCAACCAGTGTGCTGGACCTGTGTCCTGGGCCTGACCTTCTGAGTTCACCGATAGGCCAGCTCTCAGGAGATTGTAGTTTGCAGCTACTGATTCAGTCAGTATTTACTAGTTTCTGACTGTGTGTCCTGCAGGGCTCTGGGAGCTTAGGATCTGCCCATGAGCAAGGCGTAAGAGGATCCCTGTCCCAGAAGAACTTCTGTCCCTGGTATAAGCTGAGGAAGATTCTGGAGTCCCGGATCACGCAGGGCTGCTAGGGTCACTCTGACTTCCGTGGCTCTTCTCTGGAAGCCATTGGGTGGTATTATGCAGAAGTTGGTGTGTTTGGACTAATTTTGTAAAGGGACCATCCTGGGCCCTGTGTTGAGAGTAGTCCACCAAGAGGAAAGGGTGGACGTGGGAGATCGGTGGTGGAGGCCAAGTCGGACATCAGGCGGGCCCTGGTGGTGGCAGGAGAGCTGGTGAGAAGTGGTGATGTCCTAGAACGTGTTCTGGACATGGACACTGCCAAGTGCCCTCATGGACTATTGTGGGTGTGAGGGAAGGAGGAGGCACAGGTGACTTCGGGAGTTTGGCCTGAGGAATTAGAAGGATGGTCTTGCTCAGGGGAGAAGGGGAAGAGACAGTAGCAGGAGGTTTCTGGCTCAGGTGTGGGCATGCTGGGTCAGGGGTGTCTGAGAGTCCTGCCAGTGGACATGCTGCACGGGCAGAGCTCAGGGAAGAGATCAGTCATTGGCAGTTGGGATTTGAAGCCACGAGACTCGACGTGATTATCGAGAGAGTGAAAATGTATGTTGAAGAAACCAAAAAAGGAGGCTAAGGATTGGTCTCTGAGATGACCCGACCTTAGACACTGGGGAGCAGAGGGAAGCCGATAAGCAGACGGACTCCAAGCCATCTCTGAGGAAGGAGGAAAGGCCCATTTTTTTTTTCTTTTTTACTTTTTTTGTTAACTTTCCTTTTTACTTTTATCAATAGTCACAGACTGCCTCCGAGGTGCCTATGTCAGACTTCAGCATCTTGCCTATTAACCCATTTAACCTTGGTAGCAATTCCAGAGTGTGTCACTCTGGGAGTTCATTGTCCCTAGTTTGTAGAGTGGGACGTGGAAACCGAGGTCATGTTATCTTGCCAACTTTACATAGTCAGCAGAAGGCAGAGCAGTCACTAGAAGAAAAGGCAGTTTGGTTTTTAACCCTAAAGGAAGTGCCTGCTGGAGAGTCTGGTGTGTAGTACRTGCTCAATATGGTAACACGCCATGGCTCCCCTCCTTCCCGTTAGTCAGTTCTCCGAAAGCAAGTCCATACTCCATTGACCCCTACCTCTCCACCGTGAGCAAGCACAGTGAGCCCCATGAGTCCTGGGGAAGGACGCCTGGGGAGACCCTGGCCTGAGTTAAGAAGATAACCACTTTCCATTACTGTCCCTGACGTTCACACCTTTGTGGTGCATGGTCCTTCAGTGACTGGCCGCAGCACAGGATGGCAGGCTCTCAGACAAGATTCTCTTGTGTGCACATCTCAGTTCATCCTCAGAAATTCTCTGAGGTGGAGGCGAGTGTGACCTCCTGCTAAGCCAGCTGACTTCCAGACAGACAGAAACAGACTGACCCCAGGACTCACATTGTAAGTGACTTACAGGCTTCAAGTAGAGCCCGGGATTCGCTGCCTAGACCATGTCATTACCGAGAGAAGACAGCACTCACCAGGTGATGCTGAATGGTATATGTGTCGGGGAATGATGGAAACACACCTGAGAAAGGCAATGTTAGGATATCTCATCTATGAAGTTCCATGATGTTCACACAAACCCAGGTGGTCCTGCCTCTTACACACCGAGGCCATGTGGTATGACATATTTTTAATTTGTTTAACTTTCAAAACATTTTTGTTAAACTAAAACACAGACACACCCATCTGCTTGGGCTTACACAAGGTCAGGATCATCAGTATCATTGTCTTCCACCTGTGCATCTTGTCCCAGTGGAAGGTCTTCAGGGGTAATACCCCACACGGAGCTGTGACCTTCTGTGGTACTGCCGGCCTTCTTCTACAATCCCCCCTGAAGGACCTGCCTGAGGCTCTTTTATAGTTAACTTTTTTTCAAAAAAGCAGAAGGGGTGTATTCTAAAATAATGATAAAAGGTATAGTGTAGAAAATAAGTAAACCAGTGGCAGTTGTTTGTTATTATCATGTACCATGTGTGGTACTGAGCATGGGTGTAGGTGCCCTGTTACCTAGGATTGGCAGCGTAGTAGGTTTGTTGACACCACCATCAAACACATGAGTAATGGCTGAGCTATGATGTCACTACTGCTGTGTTGTCCCTGGAACAGGAATAGTTCAGCTCCATGGTAATCTTATAGAGCAACTCTTACATATTTGACCTGTTGTGGACCAGATGTTCTGTGGCACTGATTGTAGTTTCATCTATTGTTATGTGTAATTATTTTTGTTCAAATCTCCCAGAGTGGTTGGAATCCCCTCCCTAAACTCATGAAATACCGTGGAGCCTTCTGGGTATCCAAGGGAGATGCACTCCTTGTCTTCAGCTTTTATCTTCAAAGTTCAGAGGACCTTTGTAACAGGCCATCCAATTTGCTACTCTCACATCTTGCCAGAGGCAGGATTGTGAAGGAATCCATGTTTCTTTGAATATTTTAATCCTCCTTCATAGCATGCCTGAAGGGAAAGACCCCTCAGGACGGACTGACCACCTCCTCTTCCTAGACCTGCTGCCTCTGTGCACAGTGAGTCCAGCAAGGTATTCAGGGCTTCGGGTCTCTTCTCCATCCTCCCCAAACCAAGACTGTCAAATACCAGTGCCAAATGCAAAAACAGAATCATGTCAGTCTAGTGAGACTGGAACTCAGTCAAGGGGAGGTCAAGCCATGGTCATCTACACGAGAGCTTTCCATATGCCTGCAGTGCAAAACTAGTCCTCCTATCCCCATCATTGTGGCCTTTGACATTTGTAAAATATGACAAATGTGACTTCAGAGAAAGATAGAATTCAAGGCAGGACAATAAAGCATAGGAGCTTAAATTTTTTAGTTAGGTTTTTTAGACATAAGTCATGTTTTTAAAATCAGAAAAAAATATTGCATAAGGAAAAAAGTATTGCAAAATGTGTGATATTATTTATGAAATGTGTATACAGTGATTAATGTAGGGTGTCACTGTTATACTCCTGATTTTTTGCCTATTTGGATTTGGGTGTTAATACAGAAATATAGGTGAAATACTGCTTGCCCATATTACATTCCTGTATACCCACTTTGAATGCCATATTTATTTATATTTAAGTTTTAATGTGATAAATAAGCTTAGTTTTAAAATAACTGACCTAATAGAGGTGATGTTCCTTTGTCGATATCATCACCAACTAATAACAAAGAGTTTGCAGACCAGTGCTCTCCATGGGATAGCATCAATTGGCAGACCGTGCTTCAGGTAGGATTGGTCTGAACTTTTATGTCCTGTGCACTGGACTGGTTGCTGATACTCAAAGGAAACATGCAAAATTTCTGCTGTCAAGGACAAAATGTATTGGGCATGTAGATCAGGTTTGCCAATGCCTTCCTGTGGAGGTGATGATTAATCTGAGATATGAAAGATGTGGAGTCAACTAGGACCTGAGCCAAGAGCATTCCAGGCAGAAGGAAGAGCTGACACACAGCTCCAGCATGGAAGACTCATGGCATAGACAGAAGGAACCAACCGAGTTGTGAGCGAGTACAACTGGAAGACAGAGGAAGGCATGCATCACTGAGCTTTGGAGGATGAGGTGGGCATTGTGGTTTTATTTGAGGAGTGATGAGAAAGATTGGAAGCAGGAGAGTGACATGTTTTAAAAAGATACCACTGGCTGTTTGATGAGAGAATGAATTAATTATAGGAGACAAAAATAGAAGCAGTGAGACTAACTGGGGTGGCTTGCACGGTGGTAGTCCAGGTGAGAAATGATGATGATTTGGCCTTCTGTAGTCGTGAGAGAGATGGAAAGAAGTAGATGAATTCCTGTTTGTCTTGGAAGGATCAAGGATAACCCGAAACGTAATCTGTAACTCTTATACCATGCAGAAAGCCAAGAGCATGTAGGAGGAGGGACAGTGGGAGGTGAGAAGCCAGGGAGTTCATGGGAGATGATCCACCTGCTCCCAGTGATGTGGGAACCTTCTCCAAGTATAGAGAGGAGAGGAGGAGGTAGAAAGGAAGAGAAGGATAAAGGTGGCCCTCACAGAAAAACAGAAGGGACGGTTGAGCTGTCCTGGCTGGATTCGATATTGTGAACAGGTCAGGTTGACCCTCCAGAGGTGGAACAATTTGAAGGTCAGTGTTTGGAGCTGACATATGTGCTCATGTGTCTTTCCTTTGATTGGGTGGAAGGATTGCTCAACCAAACTCATTTTGATGTCCAGGGAAAAGAGAAATGGCTTAGTTCCACATACTCTGGAAGCTGTCCTTTCCTGAGCTCCGTGTCACCATTTTACATGCACAGACTGGAGGCCCACGTGTGTGTGTTGTTTGACTCTGATCACTTCCTCCGTGTCCCACTCTGTTCCCCACCTCTGGCTCCTGTGGTACTCTGCATGCCCTAGACATGT